GCCCCTCCCTTCTCTGAGACCCCACCCCTTCGGAGTCTCCTCCCCTTTCTAAACCCCTCCCTTCTTTGAGACCCCACCCCTTCGGAGTCTCCTCTCTTTCTAAGTCCCTCCCACTGAATCTCTTCCTTTTCTAAGCTCTTCCCCCTCTAAGTCTCCTCCTCTGAATCCCTCCCCTCGCAGTCTCCACCCCTAAGTTTCCTCACCCGAGTCCCTCCCCCTTTCTGAGGCCTTTCCACCTCAGCCCCTCCCCCTTCCTGAGTCCCCGCCCCTTCTGAACCCCTCCTCCTATAAGCTCTCTCTTCCTTGTGAGCCCTCCCTTCTGAGTCCCCTCCCGGATCCCCCCCAACTTCCCTCGCACCTCCTTCACATGCCCCCCCCCCTCCAAAACTGGGGCAGGCAAGGAGGGACCCAGCCCAAGATCCGGAAGCTGGACTGTGGTCACGGGGCCTTGGAACAGACCCCTGACGATGCCCTGCCCACGCCTAGATTCCCGCCAACAAGGAGCTCAAGCCAGACAAGGGGCAAAACAAGTTCGTGACCGTCCAGGCGTCCTTCGGGGCCAACGTGGTGGAGAAGGTGGTGCTAGTCAGCCTTCAGAGTGGGTACCTCTTCATCCAGACGGACAAGACCATCTACACCCCCGGCTCCACAGGTGAGGCCGGGGGCAGCTGGAGAGGCTGGGGCACCGGCGTAGGAGGGTCGGGGTCTCACCAGGCCTCCCTGTCTGTTCCACTGCCTTCCAGTTCTCTGTCGGATCTACACCGTCAACCACAAGCTGCTACCCGTGGGCCGGACGGTCGTGGTCAACATTGAGGTACCAGCCAGGGGGGGCCCCAGGGGCAGCAAGGGCGTAGGCTCAGGACAGGCAAAGAGATGGAGAATGACAGAGAAAGACGCACCAGAGAGGTGCAGTGGCAGAGACAGAAGCAAAGAGATGTGCAGACACACGTGTGACACACACAACACACATACAGCACACAACACACACAGAGGCAAAGATATATGTAGACACGTGCACCCACACAGTGCACACACACAGCACACAACACACACACACACAGCACACAACACACAGACACAGAGCAAAGAGATGTGTAGACACATGTGCACCCACGCAATGCACACACACAGCACACAACACACACACACACACACACAGACACAGAGCAAAGAGATATGTAGACACATATGCACCCACACAATGCACACACACAACACACACAGCACACACGCAGCACACAACACACACAATGCAACACACAACACACAGTACAACACCCAATACACAACAACACAGTACACACACAACACGGTACACACAATGCAATGTATATAACCACACAACACACACAACACACACAGCATACAACACACACAAACGCACAACAGAACACACACAACACACAAACACAACCACACAATACACACAACATACACAACACGTAACAACCACACAGCACAATATACATAACCACACAACACACACAAAACACATGGCACACTCTCAACACAATCACATAACACAACACACACCAACACATAATACACACAACACACAATCACACAATAAACTATAGGACACATACACACACAAACACACAAGCCAGGAGACAAGATGGAGATCCAGGGAGACCCCAGGGAGCAGTGCAGGTGTCCATGGATTCTGCTTTCAGATAAACCGCTGGTCACTTCGCCTCCCTGAGCCTCAGTTTCTGCATCTGAATATTGGGATCAGGACAGATAATTCTATGTCATCTATTTTACCGACCCCGCAGCCAGAGGACGCCTGTGAGCACCTCCTCTGCCTATAGCCCTCCATGGCGCCCACCTTAATATGGGTCAAAGCCCAAGTCCTCTCTGCAGTCCACAAGGCTCTGCGTGAACTGCCCCATCCCCTCCCTGCCGTCCCTTCCTCCCTCTCTCCCCTTCAGTCACTCTGCTCCAGCCACACGGGCCTCCTCGATGTTCCTCCAACACCCCAGGTGCAGTCCTGCCTTGGGACCTTGGCACGGGCTGTGCCCTCTTCTCAGAAAACCCTCTTCTTCCAACTATCCACACAGCTCGTCCTCTCTCCTCCTCTAAGTCTTTGCTCAAATGCCATCAGTGTCTCCATTTTACAATGAAGTCTCCGAGTAACCTATAAAGTTGCATATACCCACCCTGATATCACACACACACACACACACACACACACACACACACACACACACTCCTCCTTCCTGCCATGTCCTGCAAGTGAGATTTATTCATTTGATAATTGCTTTTCCCCTCACCTTGCCCTCTATTGAACCTAAATTCCACCCAGGAAGGAATTTTTATGTTTGTTTAGGGTTTTGCCACCTGAACTCAGCCCAATGCTGGTATATAGTTGGGCTTAATAAATTTACTGGGCTGGGCGTGGTGGCTCACACCTCTAATCCCAGCACTTTGGGAGGCTGAAGTGGGCAGATTAGGAGGTCAGGAGTTCGAGACCAACATGGTCAGTATGGTGAAACCCCATCTCTACTAAAAATACAAAAATTAGCCAGGTGTGGTGGCGCGTGCCTGTAGTCCTAGCTATTTGGAAGACTGAGGCAGAAGAATCGCTTGAACCACAGAGACGGAGGTTGTGGTGAGCCAAGATTTCGCCACTGCACTCCAGCCTGGGTGACAGAGCGAGCCTCAGATTTGTTTGTTTATTTATATTTTTGACAGTGTCTCGCTCTGTCACCCAGGCTGGCATGCAGTGGCACAATCTCAACTCACTGCAACCTCTGCCTCCCAGGTTCCAGTAATTCTCCTGCCTCAGCCTCCCAGGTAGCTGGGATTAACAGATGCCTGCCACCATGCCCAACTAATTTTTGTATTTTTAGTAGGGACAGGGTTTCACCATGTTGGCCAGGGTGGTCTCGATCCTGACCTCAGGTGACCCACCCACCTCAGCTTCCCAAAATGCTGGGGTACAGGCCTGAGCCACCATGCCTGCGCAGGTCCCTGTTCTTAACCACAGTAGACACTGTGCACAGAGACTGTCCAGATGCAGAGAGGCCAGGGAGAGCTGAGAGGCTAAGCCCAGCCTCTGACGGGACTTTCTCCCGTATCCTTCCCTCCTGCCTCCTGCAGAACCCGGAAGGCATCCCCGTCAAGCAGAACTCCCTGTCTTCTCAAAACCAGTTTGGCATCTTGCCCTTGTCTTGGGACATTCCAGAACTCGTCAAGTATGTCGCGCTCTTGAGAAGGGGGCTCAGGGCTCCCCTGTTTCAGGAGAGGGAGCTGGGCTGGGCCTGGGGGGCTCCAAGGCTGGAGCAGACTACTCATCCTCCCTCTTGACAGCATGGGCCAGTGGAAGATTAAAGCCTTCTATGAAAATTCACCACAGCAAGTCTTCTCGGCTGAGTTTGAGGTGAAGGAATACGGTAAGAGGAGGGGCCAGGGGGTGGCAGCGCCCAGGACACCAGGCCTAGCGCCGGCCCCACTGACGCCGCCGTCTCTCCCCCAGTGCTGCCCAGTTTCGAGGTCATAGTGGAGCCTGCAGAGAAATTCTACTACATCTATAACCAGAAGGGCTTGGAGGTCACCATCACCGCCAGGTGAGGGGCTGGGGGTGCCGCCAGGTAAGGGCCATATGAGGGACCAGGTGAAGCCCAGGTGGGGGTCTGGGGGATGGGACTAAGTGAGGGGTTGGGGCCAGGTAAGAACCAAGTGAGGGACCAGGTGGGGGGGCTGGGGTCTGGAGGGTGGGACAAGGTGGGGGGCTGGGGGATGCACCCAGGTGAGGGGCTGGGAGAGGTACCAGGTGGGGGGCTGGGGGAGGTACCAGGTGAGGGGCTGGGGTTGGTACCAGGTGGGGGGCCGTGGGAGGTACCAGGTGAGGGGCTGTGGGAGGTACCAGGTGAGGGGCTGTGGGAGGTACCAGGTGAGGGGCTGTGGGAGGTACCAGGTGAGGGGCTGGGGTTGGTATCAGGTGGGGGGCTGTGGGAGGTACCAGGTGGGGGGCTGGGGAAGGTACCAGGTGGGGGGCTGGGGAAGGTACCAGGTGGGGGGCTG